CACATATACATACAGTACAGTATATCTATACAATACAAGTGAAACTAACAACACTGAAATACACACCTTCATGCAGACCATATGAAAATATAGAAACAGAAACATATCAAGAAAAAAAAAGACAAAACAATACAAAAATATCTACAATAACACTAAATTGGAAGCATCAGCATAAATTACTCACTTTGCATTGTGGCATTTTTTTATTCTAGTCATTTGTGCTGAAAATTTTAGATCAACTGTTAATCAAACAGAAAAGTAAGAGGCATGGATTGCTTGGATGTGCACATTTATCTTGACCTTGGTCTTGGCTGAGCCAACCATTTCAAATTTGGAAATGAGTCTAAAAACGTCAAGGTCTAGAACTGCTGCGTAACCTGATCCACCAGATGGTGCCTTTTGTTAAAAAAATTCTAATGGTTCTGCAAACCAGCAAATGACTCAAAATCTCACACAGAACATTTACTGATACACCGATGTTGAAGTAAATGGACAAAACACCCGAGACAATGAGTTTTAGCTTCTAAATAAGGAAATGAAACTGATCCATTTATTTTTAATACTTGTTTTGTCCTGGTCTGGGTCACAAAGAGCGGACGTGTGATGGGCTACGATCTGAACAGGTCAGTGGTCTCAGAGACATAGGCAGCCATCCACAGCTGCACCTGTGGTAAATTTAGAGTCAGCACTTAACCTAACAGCCGTATCTTTGAGCTTCAGCCGGAAACCACAGCAATCAGTGACAACCTCCTTCATCAATAAGACTGATGCTTGTGTTCAGTTCAGTCCTGCACGCTTTATTACACTTCAAGTTTAATTTAGGTTTTTGGCCCTCAAGGAAAGAGATGTCTGAGTTTACAAACATGTACATGTTTTATAATTTTTTTTTGTTTTTTATGGAAATTACTTTAATTCAGTCCAAAATATTCTCTTTAAAATGCTACATTGTACTAATTATAGCTTTATACTTGATTTTTTTGCTACTTTTAGCATTTTTATATAATTTTCCTAACTTTAGCTTTTAACCAATCTTTTGCTACTTTTATCCAGCCTTTTGCTAATTCAATTAGGCCTTTTATTGTTTTTAGTTTTTAACTAGTTTTTGGCTTTTTTTTTCACTTTAACAACTCAGTTTCAGCTTCTTTAGCACATTTCAGTAAAGCACTCATTACAGCTCTTTTAGTTGGAAATCAAACCACCAACCTGCCGCCTGAGTCAGCGCCACGATGCATAATAATATTAATCCGGTCAGTGTTGCTAATTGATGGTAATCTCTGGAGCGTGTAAGCATGTAATAACCAATCTCAGCCTGGCGTCCCTCCTGAGTTACAGTGGAGCGTCCCATTCTCTGATCCAATCTAGAAGCAACCTTTTAATCCTATCTTGAGGGATTTTCATCTGGTAGCAAATTAATTTTGGTAATGTTATCAGTGACATCATTTCTTCTAGACAAGCACAGCATGCATACAGTGTTTTAAATAATGAGAAAAACTGAATTAATAAAGAAAAGGACAAAAGGATGAACGTTTTTTTCAAGGTTTGCAGCATCACCTGAGTATTTCCTTTTCTTTAGTCAATACATATTTATGCCTATTCACTTCCTGTTTTTACCTGATTTAACCGACCTGATTACGTCAGTGATGCCTGATGCTGGCGGGAAACAGCAGCAGCCACCTCTGCCCAGCAACCTCTTGCACACACGCCATCCATCCGACCCACATATCTGCAGTCATCCATAATCACGGACATGTTATCCGGGCTTAAGTGCTCACACGTTCAGAAATGCTGATTAGGAAGCAGAGATATTTGAAGTTGTGTCGCTCATGCTGGGTTTTAAAAAAAACGACTCGCATACAGAAAATTAACAGAAGATCAGATCCCTGCACAAATACGCACAGGCATTCACACTCCCACCACTGTGCTTGGAGGTGATGGCAGATGCATTCCCTGGAAACAGGTGCTTTAACCCCACATGAGTTCCTTTGGCTCTCTCTGTCTCACTTTACTTTTGATGGGAATCATTTCAGATCCTTGAGTCTTTCATTTTTTTTTTAGAAAAAGAGTGGTAGACAAGTCTAAAGCTATCTTTTTTAAACAGACTTTTATTCTAATTGACTTCAGTGAATATTAATCCTAGGCAATGTTGATGAGTAAAAATTTATATTTTTAGGTAAATTTGGTCAAATTATTATTATTTAGGGCAACTTCTGTTGGTTTCAGAGTTGCCAYATCAAAGTTTAGGCTAATGACGTTTTTTTTCCACAACGGGGCACCAAGTGTAAAATAAAATGTACCAAAATTTCAAAAGACATTTTCATCATTATTGAATTTTATTGGTATTTAACTCACTGTTATTACATTTAGCTAATTTTTACTAAATGTTAAATGTAATGTTAAATAATTTATGTAAAAAAATACATTCTAAATCTAAACGTAAACGTGAAGTCTTAAATGTTGTGGCTTAATGTTGAAGTTTAAGGTTTTTTTTTCAGAAGCCTTTGCTGTTGGTGCTCGGCTCTTGTTAGGATGTCATCATCCTGTGACAGTAGCAACTGCTAATGCTGCTAAAGCTGCTTTTCTAKAAGACATTCGACTTGCAGTTGTGGCTGGTGTCCGAGCTACACTTCAAACTGCCAGATGGCAGATACCATCCATGTTAGTTTCACATTTTCAATAAAAATTTTGAATGCCACCTTCAGCAGCATTAGCACCGTTAGCGGTTGCTTTTGTCACAGGATTATGGCATCTAATGTTGGTAATGCTGCAAAGAATGCCTTCCGTTCTGAAATGCTTAATGTAAACATAAACGTTAAGCTACAACATTTACGATTTAACGTTTGCATTTAGATGTACTCATTTATATTCATAATTTACATAAATTATTTAACATTTAAATTAAATTTATTTTAAAAAATCGTAGGAGGCTAAAATGTAAAAACAGTGACCTAAATAACAAGAAGATGTTAGTGGAAAACTTTTAATTTTACACTCAGAAAATGAGCTAAATGGTGAAGCTGAGGGATTAGAGGAGTCCTCCTGTAATCAGTGGGTTGCTGGCTCGATCCCCTTCATCTGTCTCAGTCGTTGTGTCCTTGAGCAAGACACTTCACCCACCTTGCCTGATGGTGGTGGTCAAAGGGTCCGTCAGCTCCGGTGCATGGCAGTCCCACTTTCGTCAGTGTGCCCCAGGGCAGCTGTGGCTACATTGTAGCTTAACACCACCAAGCATCTTTGAATGTGTTATTATTATTAAAACATTTTATTCTGCACTTGGCGCCCCATGCAAAACCTTATCATTATTAGTAATTATTTTCTGAATTTACCATCTTAAAAATGTTTTGGTAAATCTGGACTAGCCAAACCATATTTTTTTTATAATACCCCTAAAAATAAAAAGACTGCAATTACTAAGTCAATTACCAAGTGTTCATGCAAGCTGTATACAAGCTGTATTTTCTAAAAAAATAAAATAAATAAATAAAGACTCTTGAAATGTTTCAGCCATGTGGACTTTCATTGTTTCTCTCTATGCTAAGTTTTAGTCCACTTCAAAGTATCCCAGCTCCATTTAAATACAGCTCCACTTTGCTTTTGATCTGTTCTTACAGGCAGGTGTGTCTGCACTCTCTCCAGCATCAGATAACATCAAATAGCGTTTCTTTGACAATCCTTTGACCAGATTTCTTGGCTGAAGCCTCTGTCAGCTCACCTTATCTTCCCTTCACATTCTCACACCTGATATTTCTGTTGATAGAAAGGAGACCTCCTGTGTCTTGGTGTGAAAACTCCACAGGTGGTTTTCCCATAGATTTCAGAATTTTTTTTATGTTCGTTTTATTTTTTATTATTTAGTATTTCAGTGTTTTTAAACATAAAAAAAGCATTTATCAGCTTCGAAGTGAGACTGTAACAGTAGTTTTATTAATTAGTTATTAGTTCTGAATTCATTATAAAATAGAAAAGCTGGTTTCACTTGTTTAAAAAAAACTATGTTTTTTATATTTTATCTCCAAACAGAGGCCCCTTGGAGATTTTGCAGCTCGATTTTGTACCAGAAGATGTTTCCGAACAGATTGAGAGTCAGGCCATCTCGTGGCGCCTGGAGCTTCCAGGGAATATCAAGGATGTTGGCTTAATGCGGATCTACACCACCCGCAGAGACTACATGGGACTGGCACCTCTGGTGATGGTGAGAACAATACTTGCAGTTCAGCTCAGTTCAGCAGACCGCTGGAGTGCGAGACTTTATACAGATCAATATGTGTCAGTCAGAGTCAAAGAGATACAACTGAGGATGCATCCAAGACAGCGTTTTGATGCTCCAGATGAAAAGGCAACTCRTCTCAGAGGGAGGATTACAGTCTTTAAATTAATACAGTTGTCTGGGAGCACATTCAGATTACCTGGTGTTGCTTTGCTTTGTGAAAGACGCCTGTGGACACATTCAGCACTGAAGGGTTAGATTCCTCAGAATAATAATAAAAAAAAAATTGCATGAGTTTGCATCTGAAATGTCCAAAAACAGATGTGTTTTTTTTGTCCTGATGCATCTCAGTAATCCAGGTAAAAAAACAAAAAGAAAAAAATTGTATAGGTCTTCTGGACGGGTTCTTCTCTAATGAAACGTTTCGTCTCTCCTCCAAGAGACTTCTTCAGTCTGAGAGTTTCAGGCWAAATTCAGGCTTRRYAGRKCTGCCTCCAMGTGACTGATACTCACATCACATGGCTATCGTTGACACCTAATTAACACCTATTGTTAACAGGGGGTGGAGTGATACTGGCTATAGCAGCACTGTAGGAGAGGGACAACTGAAAACGGAGGCCTCCACCTCTGTTTAATGATGGACGGTCTTCACAAAAATGGCTTCTTTTACTCCTCTCTCAAACCAACGTTCCTCTCTATCAAAAAAGAGAACATCCTCATCTCTGAAAGAGTGACCGCTGGCCTGTAAATGAGTGAAAACTGCAGAGTTCTGGCCGTTAGACGTAGCTCGTCTGTGTTGGGACATTCTTTTGAACAGTGGCTGCTTTGTTTCCCCGATGTATAACTGGTCACAGTCCTCCTGGCACTTAACAGCATATACAACATTGCTCTGTTTGTGCCGGGGCACCGGATCTTTGGGGTGAACCAGCCTTTGCCGTAATGTGTTTTGGCGTTTGAAAGCTACTGGGACATCATGTTTAGAAAATAAAAGTCTCAGTTTCTCCGCAACATACGGAATAACCACTGGTTTGGGTCTGGGTTTGGGGTCTTCATTTTCACCTGAAGGTTGCATGGAATCCTGTCTGTGTTTCCTGTCTGCTTTCAGGAAAGCCCAGTCAGGATAACCACACTGCTCCAGGGCCTGTCGTGTGTGTGATTTCTCTTTCTCCCTGGCTCCTGGGTTTGTAGGGACACTGTCTGCTCTGTGGTACAGAGTCCTGATCACTKCTAACTTGTGTTCCAGTGGGTGGTGGGAGGTGGTGTCTTTTTGGCTGCTTAGAAAATGTCTCATTTTCACAAACTAAATTCAATAATACAATTTTTGATAACATTTTATAATAATCCCACCTTATTTAGACTTACTTAACAATTAATAAATTATATGTTAACATTAACAACAGGATGATTCATACATAAGCTATAAATTAACACATTTATTAACTAACACAGTCATTGGTTGTTCATGCTTAATAACTCATGAATTAACTTCTCTATAGACTGTGTGTTTGTATGTAACTATTCATGTAAATGACACTGTGTTAGACATGTATTAATGGTTACAGAACATCTAAATTGATTTACTAATCATGCAGTGCATCATTGTTTAAGATACTTTAAGATCTATTTTCTCTTTACTTAAGAAAATCACTGATGATGAAGAAAATAAGAAACTAATATTAAGTTCTTTTTTTCTACTGAAGTGATTAAAAAACGATACTTGCTAGTAGTTAAGTCTTTTTGTGAACCCTTCTAAACTGAAGAGTGTTTATGCTTTTAAAGGGGCAATATCATGTAAAATCAACTCTTTTGAGTTTTACATCATGCTATAAAGTTATCCTCTCATCAAAACCATCCAGAGTCTTGCTTCGACTCATTCATGCATGTTTGAGAAATCCTGCAGTGTCCTGAGGCAGCCAGGCAGGGGAGCAAAAACGACCGGTTGGGATTGGAACCGCCTTTTGGGATCAGCTCCTTCTCTGGGCTGTGTCTTCAAGATGAGCTTCCTCATCACAGAGCACACACCCACCCGGCCATGCTGAAATGGGTGGGACAGAAGCGGAAGGTGGTTCTTAAAGAGACAGAGGCCAATTTCAAGGCGTTTAGAAAGAGATATGATGAGAAGTCAAGTTTATTTTCTATTTAAACACATAAACAACATTTTAAAAACACCCGAAGGTGACATAGATACTTTATTATGGTATTGAATTTAAATAAATGCCTGACAAGCACATAATAATGCCCCTTTAAAGTATTTGTCAGTGTATAATGGACAAAACCCTGAAGCTCCTTTTCACCTGTGAATACCAGACCCAATTCAAAAATTCTCTTACCATTAATACAGAGGTGCCCAGAGTGGGACCTGCGGAGAAAGATTGGTTTCCCAGCCATTTGATTTGGCCKACCAGCAGTCTACACTTATGATGCTCACTTTATCTTTGAATTATATTAAGATTAAAAAGGAAAACAAGTAACTACGAGATAATATTTAGATTAGATTTAAACACATTGCACACTTTAAAAGACAAAAAATACTCACATTTTATCAATTCATGAAATATTCCATGAGTCTTTACTCCCAAATTGTATGTCAAACTTTCTCCAAGTGCATAGGCTAAACAAACAAAAAAATAAAAAAATAAATGCATGGCTCACTGTACTGGCTTATAGCTAAGCGTAAAAAACAAAATTACTTTACATGACGAGTATTTGCATTTCACTGATTTGCATTGCACTGCAGTTGGCCTGAAGTCTTCAGACAGATTTTCAGTTTGGCCCTCTAGGGGAAAAGTTTGGGCAGCTCTACATTAAAGCATGTCTAACACATGATGTGAAACATGAGTATTTAAATATATAAACACACAGTAGATAGAATGGTTAATTTGTGAGTTATTAATCATGAATAACCAATGAGTAATTGATTTTGGAAGTAGTTAACCTTTATGAGTAAATTAATGATGTTTTCAAGGTTTATTAACATTTATTAATGATTAAGTGAGGTTAAATGAAGTGTAGGTATTAAAGTGTTATCCATTTTTTAAATTATTTCAAAATTTGGCAAGCACAATATATAAAACAGTTTAAAATTATTTGTATTTTAGTCATTTTGTCATCACTTCCCCCCATTTTTTCAGCCACAGATGACAGTTTTTTAAACTGATAATTTTTCCTTTTGTCTCAGATTAATCACATGCTCATCATGACTGGACTAGCTTTCTGTCCAACTATCTGTCATGATTATTRAGGTCAAAACCTGCAGACACTACAAGGTGGGTTTGTGTCTGTCCACYGGGAAAGACTCACAAGTCTATTTCATGGTACAATAGTCGACATAAATCAAAYAACCTTCTGGGAGGAAATTTGTTTCATCTCACTCACTTACAGGATTAARACGTGGAAAATGCTCTTCTTTTTTGTGAACGATCACATACAAAACCATATTTTACAGCCATTTGTGGGTCACCGCTGTCTCTATGCAGAAAGATAAACTCATGTAGTCTATGAACGTGGAAGTAATAAGGAAATAAAATATCTGCCAGCAACATGATGTCTTACATTTTTAATTTTTTTCATTTCCTCTCCGTTATTTTAGCCTCTTTATCTACGGAGTGTAACCATTTGAGCTTATTAATTGAACAAGTACTTATGCTAGTAATACATTCAGAACAAATTGAAAAAAAAAGAAAAAAAAACTAGCCCAACTTCTTGAGGTTGCCAGATTATTGCAGCGCTTGCACACGCACTGGATGTGAAGCGRTCCCAGCATGGTGCTGGCATCGCCACAGAAGCGCCGCGATTACTTTCTGGTTTTCTGCTCCTCCCTGATCCCCTGGCTTCTGTTCAAGTCAGTATTGCTGTCTGAACTAGAAGATGTCCTTTTGAAATTGCGGTCAGCAGCTGTCYGGCCGACCGAGTTCAGATTGTGGCGCTGCCAGGGAACATCTGCTGAGCGCCGACTGGTACTTTAGCACCAGCGTGGAGCGGGAGGAAGACAAAAATAAAGACAATATTAAAGGAYTTAAAGATCTTTACAGAAGCTGCTGCTTAGAATTTGGAAGCTGGAAGATTTGAAACGTGACAAAACACTAGAGTGTAATTTACAAATGCCATTTTTATTTAAAAAGTGTTTGTTGCAGACATACTGTACATTTATCCCAATCATAAAAGTATTATTTTTAATTTTAGCACACCTGTCCACTTTGTATGTGAGTGTTTCATCAATGGGATTATTATGCATCATTTTTTTAAAATCGGTGTGAGTCCTGCTAACACCTTGTCTCTGCCTGCCATCTCTGCACATGCACTGATGACAATAGAGATGATAGCAAGTGTTTCATGCTGGTTAATAWTGAATATGTCAAATGTCTACAAGTCTCTTTGACCTCTGAGTTTTTTCTTGCTTTTAAATTTAAATTCACACAACAAACCTTTTCCATTTATTAAGATATTAAAGGTGGCTATAGTTTTAAAAGCATACTTGTTTATTTATAGTTTTCCTTCAAGAATCCTATTTATTCTGTATTTTAAAGGTTATTTATCGGAACAAATATTGCGCAGATCAGATTTAGTGAAGCAGAACTCTTTGACTGTCTCAGACATCTTGGTTTGATTTCACACCTCAAAGAGATGTTCATTGTTTGTTCAGTAATTAGCATTTTAATTAGAATTTTTATCTTTCTTCGGTGGTATTAAAAAGGGCAAAAACATTGCAAGCAATTACTATAATTATTATTTTCTTATGTTGTGTTTTTAGGACTTTTTATGATGTCTTCTTTCAGAGTTGGAAACAAAAACACATTTAGTTTCTCTTTCTTTTTTGTAATTCTTATTCATTAATTAGCTTAATACACATACATGTTTTCAAATGAGTTGCTTTATTTCTGATATGTCAGCTTCTGCACTTGTGCACCTTATATTCTCCAGTTTAATCCTCACACAGCTGGAATGGTTCAGAATGTCACAGCTGGTTCATGTATCAGACACATGGGGATGTTCTGTGAGGTGTTTCCATAGTTTTTTGTGTTTCTTTTCATTTTTATCACCCTTAGAGACATTTATATGATTAAATGAAGAGACTAAAAACTGTTTGTGTACATGAAGTTATTGTTGCAGTTTTAGCTCTGTGATGAACTGTTATTTGTGTCAGAAGAGTCCTACATCCTGTCTCTAAACAGCTGGGGGCTGTCTGCAGAACTCTGACACCTAAACTCAATAAAATGCAGATTTGAAACCCCCCACATTATGATAAGAACTGTTTGTATAAAAATAGACCAGATTTTACTTCATGTATTTTCTATAAATACTCACAAATATCTAAACCCAGAATAGTACAAGAAGTGTCCTGGTTCATTCATTTGCTTCTTATAATGCAGTAAAAATGAAATAAAATAAAGAAAAAAATGATTAGATTTGATTTATTGATTTAACAGGAAAAGATTATTAAAAATCAAGCCTGACTCAGCATAATTGCTGCTTTACAGCAG